CTTCAGCCAATAAAGACTCCACAGCCCCAGGTGTGGGCGGGGCTGGGCGCTGTTTAATTACTGTCGGTGGGTAATGAGGAGGGTGTGGCCCGGTGAGGGGGCGTGTCCCCGTTGTGGGCGTGTCCTGGTGGGGTGGGCGTGTCCCCCGGGAGGGGGCGTGGCCTCACCACTTGCCGCGCTTGCTCCAGTCCTTGGGGGTGAAGTGCAGGCACTTGGCGTCGATGCGCAGGAGCCGCTTCAGCATCGCCCGCTCGTGGCCCTCCACGATGTCCTCCGACAGCGTCAGGATGTACTGACCCTAAAGGGACACACAGGTGAGGGACAGGTGAGATAGAGCTGGGACAGGTGAGAGACAGGTGTGACAGGAGCCGCTTCAGCGTCGCCCGCTCGGGGCCCTCCACGATGTCCTCTGACAGCGTCAGGATGTACTGACCCTGTGGGGACAGACAGGTGAGATACAGGTGAGATACAGGTGAGAGACAGCTGTGATAGAGCTGGGACAGGTGAGAGACAACTGTGACAGGAGCCGCTTCAGCATCGCCCGCTCGGGGCCCTCCATGATGTCCTGGAACAGAGTCAGGGTGTACTGACCCTAAAGGGACACACAGGTAACACAGGGGACAGACAGGTGGGACAGGTGTAACACAGGTGGGACAGGTGTGAGGTGTGACACAGGTGGAACAGGTGTGATACAGGTGGGACAGGTGTGAGGTGTGACACAGGTGTGACACAGGTGTGACACAGGTGTCCTTGGAGAGCCTCAGGCTGCACTGACCCTGCCCAGGTGTGTGGGGACCCCCCAGGTGTTCAAGGGAACCCCCCAGGTGTTCAAGGGAACTCCTCAGGTGTTTGGGGACCCCCCCCAGGTGTGTGGGGACCCCCCCCCAGGTGTTGGGGCCCCACCTTGTAGTAGTTGATGAGGTTCAGGTACTGGAGGGTGGAGATCACGTCCTCCTTCTTGATGCTCGTGATCTCGCTGATCTCACTGGGGGGAAGGGCACAGTGAGGGGGGAGGGACCACCAGAGACCCCCCCGAGACACCCCAACACCCTCAGAGCCCCCAACACCCCCCTGACACCCCCTGAGACACCCCCAACACTCCCAGAGCCCCCAACACCCCCCTGACACCCCCAGAGCCCCCA